CACAGATAGCCCATTGTGTAGCTTTGTGCGTAAATTCAAACAAACAAACAAACAAACGAGTTTATAACAAATAAGGTGGAAGTCTCATACAATAGGTGCTCTACCAGTGAAAGTGGGTTTTCTCAGGGTACCCCCTTCCCCCAGCAAATTTTTTCATTATGCTTTGGGTCCTTAGATCCCAGCCCTGAAAAGGTCCATCTCAGGTTTAATGTAAATGTAACTCTTTAGTTATCTGTCTAAACAATAGAGACATTACCCTAATCTGCTAGCCAACAATCTGTATTCAGTTTAATCTCATTATCTTAGTCAATAACGGACGTACTCGTTCTACATCTCCCTGCTCTGCTCTACAAACGCCCACGTGCAGGAGAACGAGAGAAAGAAAACATCGATAGTCAGAATACAACTCAGCGAAGCTCTCCGTCTTTCTCTTCTTTCCCACGTCTTCTCGCAGCTCTTCCCTCAGCTTGTGAGCATCTCACTCTGAAAACTATCAGTTAAAACCTCCACTCTTGTAAACGTTGAGCCCATGAAAGTCTCGGTCACTTATTCCTAATTATGAAGCGGGGTGAAAAGAAACAAAAGTTTCTGACCGCCCCTGGTTATATTTCATTCCCCTGCCGGGAATGAAATATACTTCTAACCCAAATTCCTACCATGCCTATCGAATCGAATCGACTCATACAATAGTACAATAATTAGTTGTTAAGATGTCCGTAAAACCTCTATATATGTTACTCCCACCGCTAGGTGGAGTCACATTTATTTGTTTCTGAGCACAAAGCTACACAATGAGCTGTCTGTGATGTGTCCACCATGGAGGAGGGGCAGGGGGCTAATAAGAACCACCAAAAATAATAAGGGGAAAAAAATGTTGAAATCAAGAATGAGTGAGCTATTAACTTGTTTTGGATGGGAGATATACCAATCATATCTATTCGTTGCAAAAAGGACTTCATGAAAAAACTATGTTTACATGGGATAAGATTAAACCCCAGCTACATGCTTGAGGTTTACAGAGGATAAGACTAAAATCAGACTATTATATCGTGTTTACAGAGGATAAGATTAAAATCTGGCTCTTATATCCTGCTTATAAAGGATATTATTTCGATCTTACAGAGAATAAGATTAAATTCCGGCTAATATATCGGGTTTAAAGAGGATAAGATTAACACACGGCTATTATATCTTGTTTACAGAGGATAAGATTAAAATCCGGCTATTATATCGTGTTTACAGAGGATAAGATTAAAATCCGGCTAATATATCGGGTTTAAAGAGGATAAGATTAACACCCGGCTATTACATCGTGTTTACAGTGGATAAGATTAAATTCCGGCTAATATATCGGGTTTAAAGAGGATAAGATTAACATCCGGCTATTAGATCGTGTTTACAGTGGATATTATTTCAGGCGTACAGAAGATAAAATTAACATCCGGCTATTGCATCGTGTTTACAGTGGATAAGATTAACATCCGGCTATTACATCATGTTTACAGTGGATAAGATTAACATCCGGCTATTACATCGGGTTTAAAGAGGATAAGATTAACATCCGGCTATTAGATCGTGTTTACAGTGGATAAGATTAACATCCGGCTAATATATCGGGTTTAAAGAAGATAAGATTAACACCCGGCTATTATATCTTGTTTACAGAAGATAAGATTAAAATCCGGCTAATATATCGGGTTTAAAGAGGATAAGATTAACACCCGGCTATTACATCGTGTTTACAGTGGATAAGATTGACATCCGGCTATTACATCGTGTTTGCAGTCGATAAGATTAAAATCCGGCTATTATGTCGTGGTTACAGAAGATAAGATTAACACCCGGCTATTACATCGTGTTTACAGTGGATAAGATTAACACCCGGCTATTATATCGGGTTTACACGTGATAAGACTAGACTTCAATTACCACCCTAAATAACAAGGTTTTATAAAAATATTACCTTCGGCACACGATGCGTGACCCAGTCTTCTTATTAGGGAGCATTACTTTAGTTCAAATATAGTCACCATCTTATAGAACTCACCAAGAATTTTTATTAGACGAGTAGCCCACACTTCTGAAAGGTCTTTTCTTATATAAGTCTTGACCAGGTCTTCCAAAGTTACAGCTGCCAAGGAGTTGACTCCGGAGGATACGGTACTACGAACAAGAAAATAAAGACCTGACGAGTTAAAGAAGGTCACACTTATAGGTAGATTACAGGCAATCAGGGCCGGGGCTAGGGGGGTTGCTGGGCCGTGCAACAACCCCCCCCATTTCACTGTGATCCATCCAAGTTCATTCCCCTAGCGGTTTAAAAAATCATATTATCAATTTTAAACAATCGTATGATTTTTCAATCGCTAAGAGAAGTCAAGGAAAGCTCCACAGCCATCCCCCTCCAACCCTAAAGGAGAGGAGCTGGAGTTTTAGAGTTTTATAATTCTTATTTGAATTTACAATCTACTAGTTTAAAGTTATGTCTCCAACGTTTTTCACACCTATGAATCCGTCTCCGTATTTATCAGGTTAAATCAAAGTGGATAAAAACATCAGCTGTTAAAAACAGTTTTAACCAAAAAAAGAACCAACATTCCTTTTATGCAGACACTACATTAAATCCTCTTTATTAAATCCTCTTTATTCTCCGTACAAAGTTGTACTGAATGTAAAATGTACAAATATATATATATTGTTCTTAACACAGCTACAATTATTATTGTTCTTAACACAGCTACAATTAACTATTGTTCTTAACACAGCTACAATTATTATTGTTCTCAACACAGCTACAATTACTATTGTTCTTAACACAGCTACAATTATTATTATTCTTAATACAGCTACAATTATTATTGTTCTCAACACAGCTACAATTACTATTGTTCTTAACACAGCTACAATTACTATTGTTCTTAACACAGCTACAATTATTATTGTTCTTAACACAGCTACAATTATTATTGTTCTTAACACACCTACAAATATTAAACGTTTTCTTTTACACGATCCACAAAATTAATTTCTTCACTAAAATATTTCTCGTTAAGAAACTGACTTCAAGCGTATTCAATCACCAAAACTTCCTTACCTCAGAGCTCCACTAAACACACCAGCTACGAAGAGTCCTGGGAACCCAGGGAGAGAACCAAGAACGTCCATCACATATAAAGGAAAAAGCTAAAAAAGAAAAAGAAAATATAAGCTCCGAATTTTCCGAAAACTAATAATGAATGCATTGAAAAGAGCGAGAGTGTCATTCATTGAAAACGTAAGTATGATACAGCCGGTAAATAAAAATAATATGGCCAGGTGGTTAGGGCGCTCGACTCGCAACCTGCGGGTTCGAATCCCCGTCCCACCAAACATGTTCGCCCTTTCAGCCGTGGGAGTGATATAATGTTGCGGTCAATCCCACTACTCGTTGGTAAAAGAGTATCCCAAGAGTTGGCGGTGGGTGGCCTTCCCTCTAGTCTTTACACTGCTAAATTAGGGACGGCTAGCGCTGATAGCCCTCGTGTAGCTTTGCGCGAAATTCAAAACAAACAAATGAAAATTTTACAAACATAGTACCAGCACCTCCCAGTGGCATGTCTGGTATGGTATGACTTACAACGCTAAAAGCCGAATTTCGACACTCATGATGGGCACAGCACGGATAGCCCATTGTGTGTAGCTTTGCGCGAAATTCAAAACAAACAAACACTTAAAATATTTTAAATTATTTAGGAGTAAATATAAATATGTTCAACCCATCAGACTGAAGACGACTTGAATGGGTAATGAAGACAACTTCAGTAGAATAATAATGGTTGGAGACGACTTGAATGGGTAATGAAGACAACTTCAGTAGAATAATAATGGTTGGAGACGACTTGAATGGGTAATGAAGACAACTTTAGTAGAATAATAATGGTTGGAGACGACTTGAATGGGTAATGAAGACAACTTCAGTAGAATAATAATGGTTGGAGACGACTTGAATGGGTAATGAAGACAACTTTAGTAGAATAATAATGCTTGGAGACGACTTGAATGGGTAATGAAGACAACTTCAGTAGAATAAT